GTATATATGTTTTTGAAGAAATTCCTTTTTAAATCCTTTGTCCATTTTCAAATTGGAATATTTGTCTTTTCCTTGTTTAGTTCTTAGAGTTCTTTATATATTCTAAGTACTAGTCCCTTACCAGATATATTATTTGCAATATGTTCTCCCATTCTCTGGGATTTTTCACCTGATTGTGCCCGTTTTAAGCTAAAAACAGAAGATTTTAGTTTTGAAGTCTAGTTTATCTGTTCTGTTGCCTGTGCTTTTGGTGTCATGTCCAAGAAATCATTGCCTAATTCAAGGTTATGAAGGTTTACCCTTATGTTCTAAGAGGGTAGAATTTTAGCTCTTACATTTAGGTCTTTGATCCATGTTTGAGATAATTTTTGCATACAGTGTGAGGTAAGGGTTCAACGAAATTCTTTTTTTTTTTTTTCCAACTTCATTCTTTTTGCATGTCCCTGCACCATTTGTTGGAAAAACTATTCTTTCCCACTACTAAGTTGTCTTAACACACTTGTTGAAAATCACTTGGTCATTGAAAATTGGCCATAAATATTATAAGGGTTTATTTCTGGATTCTCAGTTCCATTGATCAGTATGTCCTTATGTCAGTACCACATGGTCTTGTTTATTGTAGCTTTGTTGTAAGCTTTGAGATCAGAAAGTACTAAGCCTCCAACTTGTTCTTCATTTTCAAGATCTTTGTGGCCTTTTCCAGGTCTCTGTCATTTCCACATGAATTTCGGGATTGGCTTGTTGATTTCTACAGAAAACCAGCTGGGACTTTGATAGGGATTGCATTGAATTTATCGGTCAGTTTGGGGAGTATTGCCATCCTGACAATTTTTTTTTCAGTCCATGAACATGGGATGTCTTTTCATTGATTTAGGTTACTGCAAGTAATTTTAATCCTAGTGTTTTAGAGATCCTTCATCAAAGAGGTTCTGCCCATGAATATTCAGGAGAAGAGTATCTGATGGATAGGAAGCACTCCGTAAATATTTGTGGAATGAATGAAAGAACTGCAGTAATAGTGTTCCCTTAAAGGAAGATACTTAGGAGTAGCTGGTGGAGAAGAGATACTGGTTTCGGGGTTGGGCGGGGGAGCACATGTGGACTGTAGATTTCCTGAACAGGTGGAGCTGGGCTGATCTAATCAACAAGTAGCCTTGGGATTGAAAAGGCTGGTTTGTAAGTGAAAGTCAGTGGATGTCATCATTCCCTTTTGCTGAGAAGAATAGTTAGTGCTGAAATTAACAAAGACTCATTCTGGGTTACTTGAACAAATAGAGGCGAAGATAGGATAGAGTGGAATTTAGAATTGGGTTTTGAGGGGATCCCTGGGTGGCTCAGCGGTTTGGCGCCTGCCTTCAGCTCAGGGCGTGATCATGGAGACCTGGGATCGAGTCCCACGTTGGGCTCCTTGCATGGAGCCTGCTTCTCCCTCTGCCTGTGTCTCTGCCTCTCTCTCTCTGCGTGTCTCTCATGAATAAATAAATAAAAAATCTTAAAAAAAAAAAGAATTGGGTTTTGAACCTTTAGATATCATGCAGAAGAGATTAGGACAGAAGCTTCATGCCAGAATGATAGGGCTTTGGCTTGTTTACCTTAATAGAGACCCTCCAGTGTCTTTCTCACCTGTTGATTTTTCTGGGTGATCTGTCTTAGGATCCTGCATTTCCAGTGTTGCTCAGTTGACTTCTGACAAGCCTGCTGGTGCCCACTTCCCACAAAAGCTGGCCATGAGGCTGCAGGCAGCAGTGGCTTCTCTAGCTTGACTTGGCAGCCAGCTAGAGAGGGCCTGAATCAAGGTCTTCAGAAACAGGGCTTTCTCACACCTCTTCCAGGATGTTGTCTGTCATTTGCTCTGTCATATTCCAGGATGTCTAAGCTGCCATTGGGATCCAGGAGGGAAAAGTGCTTCTCTGGGTGGGAATATGCTTTAGAAAGCACTGGAAGGTAGGCTTGTTTCATAGTTGCACATGTGCTCTGGGACATTGCCTGGATCGCCCCAGTGTTTTACTTCAGAGAGACAGTGTCCTCGTGGCCAGTAACAACAGAGGTACCCAGTGGCTATTTATACCTGACGTTCCTGAGTGGGAGGAGAGTCGTGTTTAGACTCTAGGAATTTTTTGCAGTCCTTCACCAAAGCAGCTAGTCCTTAGACTCTCCTGCTCTGGGAGTGGGGGTGTGGGTCAGAGTTTGAGCCCCTCATCCGTGGCTTGTCCTTGGAGGCTGGACTGCACTGCCCTCTCTGTACCAGACTTAAGGCTTAGAATCCTCCAGGTCTTTGCCAGTTTGAGGGATTGGAGGAGTGAGTTGCTTCTAGGACCTGTGCTCTCTACAGGGGTGGAATTGGATTCGTGAGCTGTGAAAAGAGGGAAAAGCCTTCTTGGTTTCCATTTCGCTGAAAGTGAATGTGCTTCTCTGTGCCTCTTTCCGGCACCTGTCCAGCTATGGGCACGAACCGTGGACGCACTCCAGGGGTGTGTGCTCCCGTCCTGTGGACTCCCACCCTGCTGCGCTTGCTCATCTGCTCTGGGTTATGGTGTTCAAGACACTTTTTGGGTGTGTGCTCATCCTCTGCTGGCTCTGTTATCTAGGGCAAGTCACTTAACGTCCAGTCTCTTCATCTGAGAAATGATGGCTCTCACAGGGTTAATGTTGGGAAAATAAGGTCCTATTATATATGGAATGGTCATAGTTGTAGGCAGTCAGTGAATATCCACCGTCGTTGCTGTCAGCCTCCTCATCGGCTGCTTCCACCTGGCACATTTGCTGCACTTCGGTCAGCTGCTTAGTGTTCAGGCCCGTGGCCCCTACGTACCATTCTCAACTCCAAAGGCTCTGAAAACTACTTTTTTTTTTTTTTTACGCTACTCATCTGGCAGCAGTACCTGACATGAATGGATGCATGTAATTTATCCCACTTCCGATGTTAAGGACTGCTAAGCTCCTCCTATGTGTGACAAGAGGTGCCCCAGATCTCACTGGGGGGCAGCATAAGGACTGGTGGGAGGAGCTGTGAGACCTTCACTGCTGGAAGAGAGTGGCTTGCGTGGGAGCTATCCCTTTGCCGACGCAGCTGGTGCTGTACAGACCAACCTATGGGCCTCCCTGGGAACAAGGCCACTGGCCAGGCCACCCTACAGCTGAGGATGGCCCTGAGTGTGGAGTGGCTCTGTGGGAGAAGTGGGATCGGGGTAGGGTCTTGAGGACCGACAGGCCACTGGAGCCAGGTCTCCTGTCTCCCTTTCCTCTGGAATTCAGAGCTAGTTGAATGGGATAAAGGTCCAGGGTAGCAGTGCTTCCTGAGGTGAGCACTTCAGATGCTTTGCAGTTCCTTTGAGTGTTGGCAGGCTGCTAGGAAAATAAATTGAGGGAAGGATCCACCTAGGTGTCAATACCAAAGGGGGGTGGTGGTATGGAGTGTGAGATTTTCAGCTCTCTGCAGGGACCACTGCACTGCAGAAGAAATGGTTAATGGCGAGGCTTTATTCACAGGTGGGCTATGTTTCTTCCTGGTGTGGTTCTGTGATCTCGATAACCCCTGTGATGTTGGGGGGAGGGGTCTCTGGAGGGAGGACCCTTTGCACTGTTGTGATACATAGTCCCCACACTTCTGGGCCCTCGAGCTGAGAAGAGGAGGGGATTTTGTTAGGGATCCAAGTGTGGGAAGCAAGTAAAAGGCTGGGACTGGACTTGAGATTAATTGGCTGCAAAGGGTCTATAAGCATTAGATGCCAATTTGATCAGATAGTTTTGGGGTAAGGAGTGTGTCTCCCTCATCAATGAACCATTTTTCAGCAAACTCCTGTTACTTGGAAAGATGCTTCAGGCAGCACACTACCACCCTGGTCCCTCCCACTGCTGGTCCCTATACACTGGAGACCTCAGCAGACAGTGTCCTCCAGCAACTGGCCTGGGAGCTCCCCCACAGATCCTGGTTTGCAAGGGGCTCTGAGGCTGCTGGCCCAGAGAGCAGGACCTGTGGCTGGCTGGTTTGGTTTTGTGTTTTGCACTGCCCTTGCGTTCATCTTCCTTTTCTCTGCTTTCTTCTGAGTCACAGGGAGAGAAGCATTTGGAGCCCATTTAGAGAACTCAGAAGTCAAGCCTCCTTAGGGTGACTGTCTCATTCTGCCAGGGTTTGTTTGGTTTATTGAGCACATCCTATGTGCCAGGTCATCCTGTTAGAGGACAGCGGTGACAAGATAGTCTTGATATCTGCCTTCCTGAGCTCTCGGTCTCAAAGTGAAGGCTCCTGAGAAATACTGCCCGTGGGAGGTGCCCCACCAAACACAGGCCAGGGAGGGCTGTCAGAAGACTGGGGCCTGCAAATTGAATAGGTCTTAGCCAACTGGAGTAGGAAAGGAGTTTGTGTTCCTGGCAGAGGGGACAGAGTCTTCCATGTGGCAGTGTATGGCCTCTCCAGGGAAATAGAACCTGGCTGGAGGCAGGCAGGGGCCTGTGCTGAGACGTGGTGGCCGTGGAAGGGTCTTGAACCAGGACGTGCTCTCAGAAGCAGGGTGTCCTCTGTTCACTTGCTGGGGCTGCCATGATGAAGTACCCAAAACTGGGGCGCTTAAAACAACAGAAACTTATTCTCTCACAGTTCTGAAGGCCAGAAGTCTGAAATCAAGGTGCTGACAGGATTGTGCTCTCTCTGAAGACTCTAGGGGAGGATCATGCCTTGTCTCTTCCAGCCTCTGGTGACTACCAGCTTCCTTGGCTTAAGGACACTCCAGTCACATGGCCATCTCCTTCCTGTACCTCCACACTTACTCTCTCTGTGCCTGTGTCCAAATTTCCCCTTTCGTGAGGACACCAGTCCTATTGGATTAGGGCCCACCCTAATGACTTTAATTGGATCACCTCTGTAAAAGCCCTGTTTTTAAATAAAGTCGCCGTCTGAGGTCCTGGGGTTGGGACCTGAACAGATCAGCTCTGGACACCCCACATTGGGGGTCTGGCCAGGCCTGTGGCCCATCTCACCCGTCCTGTGTGCTCTCCTGCAGAACCGGGCGGTAGGTCGGCCCAAGGGGAAGCTGGGCCCAGCCTCTGCCGTGAAGTTGGCCGCCAACCGGACAACGGCGGGAGCTCGCCGGCGCCGGACGCGATGCCGCAAGTGCGAGGCCTGCCTGCGGACCGAGTGTGGAGAGTGCCACTTCTGCAAGGACATGAAGAAGTTCGGGGGCCCCGGGCGGATGAAGCAGAGCTGCATCATGCGACAGTGCATCGCGGTGAGTGTGGTGGGCATGAACTCTCCAGAGATGCCTCTGGGGGCAGAGTAGGGGCGGCCACACTGCCTTCCTCTGGGAGCACCCTGGCCCTCTCTGAAGCCAGACCCCACCTCCCTGGCTTGTCTTTCTGCTTGTTAGTCTGTCTAGTCTCTCCCTTAAAGAGAATGTTCCAGATGCAGAATCCCTTAAGTGATGCTCTCTTGTGGAGAGAAAGGGTACTGTGACCAGTGCTGTTTCAGATTTCACATAGCAGGATGTGGGGGCATACTTACTGCACCAGGCTCCTTTTTCTTCATAGGCTGTTGGGGTTACAACTCCTTCCCTCCCTGGATGACTGAGTACTTTGAAGTCTCTGCCATTAAAGATGTCAGCCTGTCCTGTCTGTGACCCCATTGCCAGCATTTACGGTCCAGTTCATGATGGTTCTAGGCCCTCCCTTCCTTCCTGTCCTGCTTTCAAAGTCAGAGGTCCTGGTGGAAGGTCAGTGCCCCTCCTGAGGGGGCTGCCCCAGATGAAGAGGATTGATTTATGGTGCTTAGGAGCTAGGCTACTAGAGAGCTCGGCCAGCCCCTTGGCTATCTCACTGCCCCAGCCCCGCTCCAAGACAGGGCCAGTGCACACAGGCTCTGGCAACTGGGCACAGCCCCAGGTTCAGTCCGTGCGTCTGTCCAACACACACATTGCCTTTCTGCAGGGTGCTGCTCCCAGGCCCCGAGGTCCTCCCTGTGGGAACAGTGATCTCTGCTCCTGTGGGAAAGCAGGCTGGGCAGGAGGGACAGGATTCCTGGGTGAGCTCCTCCGAAGGCTCAGCCTGGCACGGGGCACATCTTTCTCTTTGGGTGCTTTTGCTCCTCTGAGCCCAGGGTCACTTTCCCCTTCTTCCTCTGCACGTACTATGTGAGTTTTTGTTTTAGTTTAGTGGTTTTTGGTTTTTGATTTTTTTATTATGGTCAAAAACACAACAGAATTTTAACCATTTTCAAATGTCCAGTGCAGAGTGCAGTCATATTACATATACCCCCATTGTTGTGCAAGCTGATCTCTGGAGCCTTTTCATCTTGCCAAATGGAAACCCTATCTCCATCGAACAACCCCGTTTTCTCTCCCTCAGCCCCTGGCAACCACCTTTCTACTTTCTGGGGTGGCTGCTTTAGATACCTCATAGAAGTGGTGTTTCTCCTGTGACTGGCTTATTTCACTGAGCATAACCTTCTCAAGGTTCATCTGTATTGTAGCAGGGATCAGGATTTCCTTTTTTTTTTTTTTTTTAATTAGTAAACTCTGTGCCCAACATGGGGCTTAAACTCATGATCCCAAGATAAGGAGTTGCATACTCTACCAACTGACCCAGCCAGGATTTCCTTCTTTTGAAGACTGATAAGGGGCACCTGGCTCAGCGGGTTAAGCGCCTGTTTTCAGCTCAGGTCATGATCTCAGGGTCTTGGGATGGAGCCGTGCATTGGGGGCAGGCTCAGCAGGTGGCCTGTTTCTCCATCTGCCCTTCACACCCTGCTCATATGCTTGCTCCAGTCTTTCTCAAATAAATAAAATCTTTTTTTTTTAAGATTTTATTTATTTATTCATGAGAGACACAGAGAGAGGCAGAGACACAGGCAGAGACAGAAGCAGGGTCCATGCAGGGAGCCCAATGTGGGACTTGATCCCAGGATCACAACCCTCGCTAGCTGAAGGCAGATGCTCAACCATTGAGCCACCCAGGCATCCTTCAAATAAATAAAATCTTAAAAAAAAAAAATGAATGAATAATATTCCACCGTTTGCATGTGGTACATTTTCTTTACCTGTTCCTCTTTTGATGGACATTAGTTGCTTCCACCTCTTGGCTTTATGAATAATGATGCTGTGAACATGGGGCGGGGGGTGGTGGTGATGCCCAGCATCTCTTTGAGATCCTGTTTTGAATTATTTTGGATATATACCCAGAAGTAGAATTGCTGGATCATACGGTACCTCTACCTTTTAAAAGATTTTATTTATTTGTTTGAGAGGGATAGAGATCATATGTGTATATGCGCACATGAGTATGGGAAGAGGAGAGAATCTCAAGCAGGCTCTGTGGCAAACTTGGAACCCATTGTCTAGGGGCTTGACCTTATGACTCTGAGATCATGACCTGAGCTGAAATCAAGAGTCAGGTGCTTACCTAACCCTAACCCAACTGAGCCACCCTGGTGCCCCAGTAGCTCTATTTTTAATTGTTTTGGGGATCGCCATACTGTTTTCCATAGAGGTTGCTCCACCTTAAATTCCCACCAGCAGTACACAAGGGTTCCATTTTCTCTACATCCCGCCAATACTTGTGATTTACTGGTTTTTTTTGATGGTGGTTACCCGAAAGGATGTGAGGTGTTACTTTGATGTGGTTTTCATCTGCACTTGCCTGATGATTGCTGATGGTGAGCATCATTCAAATGTTTGCTGGCCATGGCTTCTTTGGAGAAATATCTGTTTAAGTCCTTTGCCCATTTTTAATTTGGGTTGTTTGTGTTTTTGTTGAGTTGGAGTTCTTCATGTGTTCCACATATTAGACCCTCATCACATACACAGTTTCTAAATATTTGCTTCCATTCCATAGGCTGTCTTTTCACTCTGTGGATTGCTTCCTCTGCTGTACAGTTTTTGTTTCATTGCTTGTGTTTTTGTTACTTGTATCCAGGTCATTTCAGTGAGTTTCAGGAAATTTGGGAGTCCTCTTGAAATGTTGTCTCTAAACATGCCTCTATCTATCTATCTATCTATATCTATATCTATATATATATATATATATTTTTTTTTTTTCCTGGAGTGAGGGTCCACGTGACCCACTGCATTCTGTCAGGATTTGAGAGGTTGTCTATAGGGACTGTTGGTCTTGAGAACAGTGTCACCTAAAAGCTGGCATAGGGCCGTGACCCAGCGCTGTCTCTTGCTCTTCAGCCTTGCTCTGCCCCTGCCCATGTTCTAGGCCCAGCTGTGGGACCTGTCTCTGCTATCACCTGTGCTTTGCAGCTCTGGTGCCTAGTTCAATGCCTGCCACAGTGTGACTGTTGATTGAAGAAAACCTCACTTTTGCGTGTCTTTTTCCAACCTGATGGGGTTTCTGGAACTTATAGTCAGTGTAGACTTGGCCTGACCCTCAGCATCCTTCTTAACTCTTCTAACCCTTCCACTTTGTTGTGGCTCTTCCTGCCATGGTTTACCCACCTCTGGCACATGCAAGCCACCTCTCTTCCCTTTCCAGGCCCTTCTGTCTTGATGTCCCACAGTCGATCTCTCCCCATGATCAGCCTTCCCTTTGCTCCTCTTTGAAAAGCTCCATCCCTTCACACTGTCCAGCTCTGTCTCCCTGCTGGCTTGGGCCTGGGTTCCCCTCCTGAGTCTATGCAGTGGCTTTGCCTGTGGTTCTGCCTGCCGATTTCAGAGTCCGTCCCCTACCCTGGCCCACTCCATCATAGATCATCTTCTGGCCACCAGGTGTTCCCCACCCAGTACCCCCAGCTCTGGGCTTCCTGTGCTTCTCTGCCCCAGGTGCTCCCCATTGCTGAATTCCTCTGGCTCTTGCTTCTGTGTCCCTTTCCACTTGGGTTGAGATCCTTTTTCCTTTTCCTGCTCCCTACTTCTCTCTGCCTGTAGAAGCCCAAATACCCTCTCCTGGGAGTCCTCCAGAAATCAGCGACTTGCTGTTTCCCATGGCACTTGGCACATGACTTTTCCATGTCTTCCTAGGATGTCAGCATGTTCTGCCTCCAAAACAGCTCGAGGGAGCAGCTGCCTTCCTCGTTACTGTTGCCCCCCTTTGGTTGCTTGCTTCAGGCTTTAGCCGATGTTTATTAAGTATTTGTTGAACAAATGATGGCTCTTTTGCCTTGAGTATTCTATTTATTTGAACTCAAATATTTGAGCCATTTTATAGACTTTTCACTTATTAGTGGAGCATATATCTTATTTGAAGCTCTTCTAATTCAGTGTAAAAAAAAAAAAAAGTATGTTTCTCTGGATTCCAGGTACTGAGGTGTGTATAAGGGGAAGAGTGTCCACAAGGTGTTTATAGTCTAATTCATCAGTTCTCAAACATGGTCCTGAGAACTCCTGAAAATTATGAGTACCCGGAAGAGCTTTGTTTATATGGGTTATTTATTTTTATTACTGTATTCAAAATTAAAATGGGGAAGTTTAAAAAATACTTTGAATTCATTTGAAAAAATAAACCCACTACATGTTAACAAAAATAACATTTTTATGAGAAATAACTACATCTTCCAAAATAAAAATGATTAGGAAGAATGCATTGTTTTATATTTTTGTGAATCTCTTCTTTTATGTGGGTTCATTAGACAAGACCTGCGTTTTCATTTATGTGTGTGTCTGCATTCTGTCGCAATACCTTGTTTTGGAAGAACTATGTGAGGAAACTGGCTTCACACAGATCTGTAGTTGGAAAAGGGAGAGAGGATTTTCATAGTCTTTTCAGGTAGTGGTGGATATCTCTGATACTCTGCTGGTACTCAACAGGTGACAGTTTCTTAAAGGTTAGTTGCAATGTGGAATCTGAAACTGTATCAATGAACTTTTCATAGTGTTACATTAAAATTCATTAGTCTTTCTTGCCCCAGGAAAAGTTTATTTGCTCATGCATGATGTTACAACATCACGCATTGGTTATTTGAAAAATACTGGCTCACTGAGTTATACAGATTTTCCAAATATGGGCACACAGTGTTATACAATGTAAAAAAAAAAGGGGGGGGGTTAATAACCACATTTGTTAACACTACTACCACCAGTCTCCTGAGAGCTAAGTCTTTAAGGAAGCTGTCCAGTTCATGGTGGCTAATATAAGTTTTCCAAAATTCTAATTTCTGTTTTAAATTTTGAAATTTATCATTTATAACAAATGCTTTACATTCGTTTTTCTGGAAGTGACTGGCTCATTTCATTTCGATCTTTGAGAAATCTACCAATACTCTTTTTTTTTTTCTTTTTAATCAGTTATTCTGTCAAGTAGAATGATGTTCTATGGAGAAAATAACCAAGTCAGATCACAGCTTAGTCACGAGTGCCTTTCCTTTAGATAACCATCGTCCTTTGGTATGCAGCAATAGTGCTTTATGTGTACTTCCTATTTTGTCATACAGAACATTCAAAGGATACGTACTAAATAAAAAAATTTTAAAATTAAAAGGTTATATACTCTAAGGCCAAAGTTTTAATAAAATTAGTTTTTTTCTGCTTTGCCAAAGACCTTCCTTGGTGTAACCTGGTGATCTTTGTCACAAATGTGTGGCAGTGACAAACTCTGTGCTGCCCTGACCAGTGCCAGCAGTTGTACTCACCAGAGCAAATGTCAACATAGTTGGAAAAGGCAGATAACATCTTAGTGTTCCTCTGACTGTGCTTTTGACCCCGCAGACCTCCCTATAAAGGTGGTAGGGCCTGTGCTGTGATAGCGCTGGTGACGCGCAGCCTTGTTTCCCCACCCCCACCCCATGGGTCTTTGCTCCTGTGTGATGCTGCCTGTGGCCTCCATGGTTCCAGGGCATTGCCTGGCATCGCTCACTCCTGGGCCTCCTGGCTGTATTTTTCTCCATATCCCCTGTCACAACATACACCGTTGTTCATTTGTCTGCCTCCCTCCACTAAACTGTAAGCTCAGGATGGCAGAGACTTTTTTTTTCTTTTTTAAAGATTTTATTTATTCATGAGAGACACACACAGAGAAAGGCAGAGATACAGGCCGAGGGAGAAACAGACTCCATGCAGGGAGCCTGACGTGGGACTTGATCCTAGGTCTCTAGGATCACACCCTGGACTGAAGCCAGTGCTAAACCGCTGAGCTACCCGGGCTGCCTGACTTTTTTTTTTTTTTTTTTTTTTAGATTTTATTTATTCATGAGAGACACACACACACAGAGAGAGAGACAGAGACAGAGACATAGGCAGAGGGAGAAGCAGGCTCCCTGTGGGGAGCTTCATGTAGGACTCGATCCCAGGACCCCAGGATCATGACCTGAGCTAAAGGCAGATGCTCAACCACTGAGCCACCCAGGTGCCCCAGAACGGTAGAGACTTCTTTGTCTCGTTCGGTGCTGTTCCCAGCACTTAGTATCTGGCATGGAGGTGGTAGCCAGATCACTATTTGAATGAATGAGTAGATGAACGATGGGCGGGGCTTGGGCTGGCTGGCTGCTGACTCCTGGCCTGTGACCTGCTCCCCACGGGGCCTGCCCCCTGCTGACTTGGTTGTGCTCTGTCCGGCTCTTCAGCCAGTGCTGCCCCATACCGCCGTATGCCTGGTGTGTGGCGAGGCAGGGAAGGAAGACACAGTGGAAGAGGAAGAAGGAAAGTTTAACCTCATGCTCATGGAGTGCTCCATCTGCAATGAAATCATCCACCCTGGATGCCTTAAGGTGAGCAGTCCCGGGGGGGTGGGGGGGGGGGCTCTGGCCATGTTGCTCAGCTCCCCCACTGAGGGCCTCTGGTGGTGCTGATGTCAGGGGGCTGTGAACTCCCTTCCCCAGAGGACCTCTGAGTCTGTAGGGTGCTGAGGACAAGAAGGGTCTGGAGCAGCTCAGCCCTCCCCTACCCATGTCTTGAAGGGAAAGAACACGTACCCACCAACTTCCCAGCACCTCAGCCACAGACTGGAGGGAGAGACCAGTTGGTTGTGTTGCTTGCCGGCATCCTGGGTTGGGGCTTTTGGGAGAACAAGGCCTGGCCAGAGGAGGACAGGTCCTGTAACAACAGGTTGTTGCGTTAGTGTTGCCGGGTGCCAAGAACCTGCTCCTTTGGTGTGCCCAGGGCAGGGCTGGCTTCTTGTGTGGACTGCCGTGCTGTTCCTGCCTGTCTTAGGCAACAGGTTCTACCTCTGAAAGGAAGAGACTGCTCTGGGCTGTCCCCAGAGAGTGTCCTCATACCTGGCACCTCCCCATCAGCGCAGGTGTCAGCCTGTGTGTATCTGTGTTTAAGCAAGATCAAAGTTGGCCTGCCCCAGATGTTACCTCCACCCTGAAATGACTCTATTCCTCGGTGGCGGTAGTGGGGGGTTTGTCCTGAGGCTCATCGTCCTGTACACACCTCCCACTCTGAAGGGAGCACTATGATTTTTTTTCCCCTGCCTTTGGAAGTCAAACCTTCATGTTTTAGTTGCCTGGTTATTTCGTCTCCCGGATCAGAAGCTTTGTGAGGGCAGGGACAGCCCCTCGGAATTGCTCCCACTTAGCACCCAGTATGGTGCTACTAATGATTGAACAAAGGATGGGGTCCTTTCTGCCCTGAGCCAGCTGCTTTACCCAGGTTATCTCACTGAATTGTTGCAGAATGGTGGTGAGACAGGTATGTTGCACTTCACGATCTAGGGCACTGGCCCATGGAGATGGGGTGATTTGCCTGTGATCCCTGTGCAAAGGTGGATTTGGGACAAAGTTAGGATGTGACCCCTGGCCAGAATCCACAGCCCATCCATCTTGACCATCTCTTGTTTCCTCTTGGTCAACAATGGGACAAATGACATTTGGGAGGGGGTGTTGATGTTCCTGGCAGATGTGGCATCCTCTGCCCCCTCCCCACTTGCTGACTGGCGTGTGTCCTTTGCAGATTAAGGAGTCAGAGGGCGTGGTCAATGATGAGCTTCCAAACTGCTGGGAGTGTCCAAAGTGTAACCACGCAGGCAAGACCGGGAAAGTGAGTGCCGGGCTCCAAGTCCCAGGGGTCAGCCTGGGAGGGGTGGACCTTGGCCTTGCCAGATGCAGCCTGTCCCTGCCCTGTCGAACGGTGGGGTGTTGCGGGTTCCCGGAGTGGGGCACGTTCAAAGATATACAGTTCGTTTGTTCCTTCTCTCTTTTTGGCCTACAAGCAAAAGCGTGGCCCTGGCTTTAAGTATGCCTCCAACCTGCCCGGCTCCCTGCTCAAGGAACAGAAGATGAACCGGGACAATAAGGAAGGACAGGAGCCCGCCAAGCGGCGGAGTGAGTGTGAGGAGGCGCCTCGGCGCAGGTCCGACGAGCACCCCAAGAAGGTGCCCCCCGATGGCATCCTGCGCCGAAAGTCGGACGACGTGCACTTGAGGAGGAAGCGGAAATACGAGAAGCCCCAAGAGCTGAGCGGGCGCAAGCGAGTACGGACTTGGGGGAGCGGGCAGTGTGGGTGGCCTTGGCTGGTCCTGGGGGCGGGAGCACGGGCAGAGGCGGGCACGGGCAGCGAGGACCACTCAGGGTCCTGGCCACTGGCTGCCCTGGGCAGGTCACATAAGTCCTGAGAGCCCAGCCCAAGAGAGCCCAGCGAGTCACTCCTCTTCCCACTCCTTTAGGCCTCGACGCTTCAAACGTCCCCCGGTTCCTCCTCTCACCTCTCGCCGAGGCCCCCTCTAGGCAGCAGCCTCAGTCCCTGGTGGAGATCCAGTCTCACTTACTTCCAGCAGCAGGTGCTCCCACGTTGCCCCGCCCTTCTGAGGCCCTGGGGACTTGCGAGTCCCGGGCTGCCCCCGCCTCCCCACCCCTCCCCGGCCCTCCAGCCCGTTGCCGCAGCCATTCCAAGGCATCTGTGCGCTGCAGCTCCCCAGACCCCAGTCCCAGATCACCGGCTCGTGGTTCTGGCGTGGAGCCTGGGAAGCTGAAGCTGCCACGGGGAAGGCCTGTGGATCTGGGAACCTCGGAGGATCCTGGCCGCTCCGCTCCGCCCACCGGCCCTTCTGGCTTCTGCCACGAGGTGGCGCCTGGTGGTCTCCGCTGGGAACCCGCAGGCCCTGCTTCCAGGACTGGCTCCCAGAGCCCAGTCGGACCCCAGGGCTCAGGGTCTGCCCGAGGGTGGGAGGTCAGTTGGGTGGGAACAGTTCGACCACACTCTTTTCCTTCCAACTTCTCTCTTAAAAGCCGCAGTCAGAGCCCACCGTCTTCTAGTACGGGGGAGATGGGATTCATGGGAAAGGTGATCCTCCATCCCCTACTCTAGAGACTGTGGATTCGTGGTGGGGTTGAGGATAGAGGGGACCAAATCCTGTGAACCCTGGGAACAAGCTCTGCATGCTTTTTTTCCTGTGACAGCTAAAACCTGGCAAAGAAGATAAGCTTTTCAGGAAAAAGGTACCATCTTCCATTCTCCTGTCTGCCCCTCCCCCCATGCCTGTTCCTGGGTTCCAGGGTGGAGGGGCATGGGTGGGTGCAGCCCTGAGCCTAGGGGCTTAGCTGCCCTCACTTCCCCTTCTCCCTCAGCGGCGGTCCTGGAAGAATACCGAGGACCGGATGGCTCTGGCCAATAAGCCTCTCCGGCGCTTCAAGCAGGAGCCGGAGGATGACCTGCCCGAGGCACCCCCCAAGGCCCGGGAGAGCGACCACTCGCGCTCCAGCTCCCCTACAGCTGGGCCCAGCACAGAGGGGGCAGAGGGCCCCGAGGAGAAGAAAAAGGTAAAGATACGTAGGAAAAGGCGGCTTCCCACCAAGGAGCTGAGCAAGGAGCTGAGCAAGGAGCTGAACCAAGAGATCCAGAAGACGGAGAACAGCCTGGCCAACGAGAACCACCAGCCCATCAAGTCAGAGCCCGAGAGTGAGAGCGAAGAGCCCAAGCGGCCCCTGGGCCTCTGTGAGCGCCCCCACCGCTTCAGCAAGGGGCTCACCGGCACCCCCCGGGAGCTGCGGCACCAGCTGGGGCCTGGCTTGCGCAGCCCACCCCGTGTCATCTCCCGGCCCCCTCCCTCCGTGTCCCCACCCAAGTGCATCCAGATGGAGCGACACGTGATTCGGCCACCCCCCATCAGCCCCCCGCCTGACTCGCTGCCCCTGGATGATGGGGCGGCCCACGTCATGCACAGGGAGGTGTGGATGGCCGTCTTCAGCTACCTCAGCCACCAAGACTTGTGTGTCTGCATGCGGGTCTGCAGGACCTGGAACCGCTGGTGAGGGGCACTGGCTCAGCTTGGATGGGGGAGGCAGCGAGGGACTGGCCTGGTGTCGGGCTCCAGGCTAAGGCTTAGACTAGGCCAGGAATGGCACGTGTGTGGTATGTGTCCCCACTTCAGTCACTCATGATGACCTTTCTTTCCTTTGAAGCTCAGTCCCGCTTAACACTTCTTCTCATAGAGTTCCAGGTGGCTACAGCAATCTGGTCACACTGGTCTTGTCAGAAGAAGTGAACCCTGTTTGATGGCCTGATTCGGCCCTTGGAAGATGAGCTCTAAGGACCAGGTGGATTCCTTGTCCTTACAGAAGTGGCCAGGTTTTAAAAGCAAGGGTTCTGGCTACTGAGCTTACCTTCAGCTGTGATATTTCCTAGCTTTCTGGCTTCTGCCAGGTTATTGCCTCTATAAAAGGGCAAGACATGATGTCTGCCTGGGGCGTCGTTGTGAGAAGTGGCGTGTAGGGGGTGTAGTAAAGCCCCCGTAAATACTTAATGGAGAGCAGGTACTGGCATCTTCCGTGGGCGCCTGCAGCAGAGCAAAGGTGCCCAGGTGTGGGCAGGATAAGAGTTGAGCGGAGAAGGATCGAGGGTGGAGTCGGGGAGGAGTTGCCACAGCCATGCAGGGGGCTCCCTGCATGAGACCCACATCTGATGACGCCCCTTGTGTTGGGCCTGGCCCGCAGGTGCTGCGATAAGCGGTTATGGACCTGCATCGATCTGAACCACTGCAAGTCCATCACACCCTTGATGCTGAGCGGCATCATCCGGCGGCAGCCAGTCTCCCTGGACCTCAGCTGGACCAATATCTCCAAGAAACAGCTGAGCTGGCTCATCAACCGGTTGCCTGGTGAGCACTAGGCCAGGGACCCCGGAGGTGCAGTGGTGGGAGCCAGGAAGCATCTCCTGACCTGCCACCCTCCCCCGTCCCCCAGGGCTTCGAGACTTGGTGCTGTCGGGCTGCTCGTGGATTGCGGTCTCAGCTCTCTGTAGCTCTAGCTGTCCGTTACTCCGGACCCTGGATGTCCAGTGGGTAGAAGGACTAAAGGACGCCCAGATGCGGGATCTCCTGTCCCCACCCACAGATAACAGGCCAGGTGAGTGGCCAGGCCCAGGGCGTGCCCCAGGGGGGTCAACATAGAGCTGTGTGACTGGGCCATGCCATTGGACCTGGTTTTCACCACAGGCCCTATCTGGTGCATGTGGTCGCGAGCCTTCTCTGGTCTTAGCCCTTTTCCAGAGGATGTGGAGACTATCTCAGCTGATGTGTTCTTGGTCACCTCCAGGCTTAGAAGGGATGCATGAAAGCAGAGGCTTCTTTGTATACCCAGCAGTCTTCTGTGGGGTCTTTGCATGTGCCTGTTGCTTCTCTGTTCATTTGTTCTTCATTGGCTTCAAGCCTCCACAAACATGGAGAGCAGGCAGTTGTAGCTGGGCATGGGTTCACAAGAGGGAGCCTTCCTTCCGATGGTTGTGGGGGTGCTTGCTCACTGCCTGTAGCTTACATGGTGATCCAGAGGTGCTGTGCTGTCTCTGTTCCAACTGGCTGAGTACTGCTGGATAGAATGTGGGCTGTGTTTCTAAATGTTCAGATTTTTCCAGAATCCAGAAGTGTGAGATTTGATGTGAAATCTTTGGATGTTTAAATGTATGAACTTATTTGGGGGAAACACTCAGTGGTCAAATGAAACTCATGTGTGATATGTGTAGCTGGTGTGACCAGATCTCTCCGGTCAGGCCAACATGCCACCTCTCTTCTTCCTGTCCCCTTAGGTCAGATGGACAATCGGAGCAAGCTCCGGAACATTGTGGAGCTTCGTCTAGCAGGCCTGGACATCACGGACGCCTCCCTGCGGCTCATCATACGCCACATGCCCCTGCTCTCCAAGCTCCACCTTAGTTACTGTAATCATGTTACTGACCAGTCCATCAACCTGCTCACCGCTGTGGGCACCACCACCCGAGACTCCTTAACCGAAATCAACCTATCAGGTCAGTCAGGGGCACCCACCCGGGGTGTACCCAGCAGAGTCTGCCAGGGACCCCAGGGGACATTTGTGGGAAAATGATCTGTGTGCCTGCTATTGGGGCAGATGTGCACCCATAAACAAGACAGACACCCGGCCTAGGCTAAAGGAGAAACAGTAAACACAGCAGTTGCTGGATCGGCAAGAATAGCTGTCCCCAAATGGTGTTGGTAGCAGCAAGAGCACAGAGACATGGTTCCTGACCCAAAACCCAGGCTTGAGGAACTTCTCCCAGGTGGTGCAGACATGCTGGCTGGTACAGAGGAGACGGGAGCAGGGCAGCGGGCACTGAGGCCAGGCAGGCTGGCACTGATGAGATAGCTTGGTTTCTTCTGCTGGTGTGCACCCTGATATCGGGGTCTGGTGGAGGAGAGAAAAGCCTCCAGCTGGTGCCACTGAGGGTCTGCGCCTGCAGGATCCTCACTCTGCTTGCAGATGGTGCTGGAGTTGGTTTGCAGGGCCCCAGGGTGTGACTTGTGGCGAGGTGGGCCGAGAGCGCGGCCCGGCTCAGCCAGTCCTGGTCTCACTGCTTAGGACATCAGATGGGGTCCATCAGGTTTACATGGGACCTGAAAATAACCACTTTTTTCCTCTAGAAATTAGCAAGTAATAAAGGACCCCTTCACTTCACGCTTGGTAGATAAACACCTTCCAGTCAGCTGTGCCACATTTGGGGAGGAATGGGGGGTTTGGGGGGTTGAGAGAATTCTCTACTCAAGCCATTCCTCTTTCTGGGGGAGTTTTGGTGGCAGGGGTCATCCCACCAGGGGAGGCAGAGGAAAGCGAGCCATCCTGGGCCAAGGGTCCCAGCTCAAGCCTCCCCTCGTGGGCTTGTCTGACGCTGGAGTTGCCCTGTGAGGGGCCCAGATGGGCCTGAGTGTTGTGGTGACTGTTCCCTGCAAGCAACCCTGTATGTGCTGCAGCAGTCCTGGCACATCCTCCTCCTGCAGTGCCGTCCACGACATGCTTCCCCGGGTGGAAACTGCTTTTGCATCTGCTTTTCCATGGTCATCCTTTCGTCTTCGTACGTAGAAATCTCTGCAGTCCTGTTAAGACCTCTGCCGTACAGGAAGGCAAACCTCTATAACCCAGTCTCTTTTATTCATCTCTTTTTTAAAAGTTTTCCCTTGCCATCAGTATAACTAGTTAATGTAAAAATAAGTCTGTGGCACAAAATAGGCGACAGTTGACATGCTTCAGGATCCATGAACTTGAAGGATCTGGTCTAGTGACAAAATGAAGTCACAATTGTCTAGCTCTTGTTATTCAGGCTGAATTTTACCATAGAACATTTATTTGGTGCTCAAGGCACCCTTCTCTTCCCCCAATTCTCACCAACACCCCCCACACAACCACCTTAAAATCTTCTGGTGTCGCCTCTGTACTTCCACACAGCAAGCCTCTGTTGCTATTTCTTGATTTTCTTTTTCCCCTTGGGCATTCTGTATTTATTAGCTTGCTGTGGACTAGAGGATTACTACTCTTACGTCTTCTCCCCCTAGTTGTTTTTTTGTTTTGTTTTTAAGATTTTATTTACTTGACAGCACAAGCAGGGGCTGTGGCATGCAGAGGGAGAAGCTGAGCAGGGAGCCCAATGCAGACAGAGCTCAATCCCAGGACCCTGAGATCATGACATAAAGGCAGACAACCAACTGAGCCCCCCAGGCACCCCTCCCCCCTTATCTTTTCAATTCATAGTCAAGTCTACTGTCCACTGTTGAGCTAAATAGTGTATTATATTTCCCTTATTGCACACCTTTTTTTTTTCCTGGAATTAATAATAATTGCCTCTTTTTTGTTTAGTCTCTAAGGAGATTCTGCAACAGACTTGAATACTGTTCTATCCCCACACAAACCCCTCTGGCCCGACAAGTTTTTGTAGGAGCCCTCCATTTTGGCCAGCCTTCCTCCCAGACAGCAGTTTCCACTACCATCCAAGAAATCTTCTTGGTGTGTGTCTTGTGTAGGGTCCCCACTGTCCTTGATCTCACATTCTTTTCTTGCCTCTCTGATTTCACAGAGGACATTTAGACTTTGTCCAAAAACTTTTCCTTCGCATTTAATTGAGAGCTTAACTGGCTCTGGGAACCATGTTGTTTCAGAAAGTGGGAGGTGTTGCTCCTTTTTCTTTGCCTTCTAGTCCAATCGGAACCATTTGATTCTTCATCTTTCAGTGAATATTTTCTCTAATCGGAAGTTTGTTAGGACATTTTCTTTGTTTCTAGTTTTCTCTAATTTTTGATGAGCCTTGGTTTGAATCTTTTTTTTCCACCCACATTCATATGAGCCCTTTCAGTCTAGAAACAAATGTCCTGGGGGATCCTTGGGTGGCTCAGCAGTTTGGCACCTGCCTTCGGCCTGGGGTGTGGTTCTGGGGTCCCAGGACTGAGTCCCACATTGGCTCCCTGCGTGGGGCCTGCTTCTCCCTCTGTCTGTGTTTCTGCCTCTTGCTCTGAGTCTCTCATGAATAAATAAAAATAAAATCTTGAAAAAGAAACAAATGTCCTTTAGCTCTGGGAAATTTCCTTGAATTATTTCTTAATTTCCTTTTTTTCTGTTTTGTATTTACTAGTGCTCCTTTTTTTTTTTCTTTTTTCCTCCTGTTTTCCACCTTTGTGTCATCTTTTGTCTCACTTTTCTGGGAGTTTTCTTCCACCTTGCCACACAATTCATACAGTGGTATTGTTTTGTTTTGTTTAGATTCATCTAGAGCAAGTAGGGGGAGCAGCAGAGGGAGAGGGACAAGCAGACTCCTCCCCACTGAGCATTTAAATTAAATCCTGGAATGTTCAAAGATTTTTGACAAGGTGCCACAACCATGTAGTGGGTAAAACATATTAACTCAAAATTATTTAGACCTAAACATCGGAGCTAAAACTATAAAACTCTTAGAAGGAAATGGGAAAGTCTTTATGACTTTGAATTTGTGTTTTTTTTTTTTTTTAATTTTTAAGATTTTATTTATTAGACACAGAGAAGCGAGAGAACACAAGCAGGGGAAGCAGAAGGCAGAGGGAGAGGGAAAGGTAGACTCCTGTGCAGGAGTCTGATGTGGGGCTTGATCCAGGACCCTGGGACCATGACCTGAGCCAAAGATAGATGCTCACCCAACTCAGAAGCACCCCCCCCTTTTTTAAAAGATTTATTCATGAGAGAGAGAGAGAGGCGAGACACAGGCAGAGGGAGAAGCAGGCTCCATTCAGGGAGCCCAACATCGGGCTCGATCTCAGGACCCTGGGATCATAACTGGAACTGAAGGCAGATACTTAACTGAGCGACACAAGGCGGCCCTGAATTTGTCAATGGTTTCTTAAATACAACACCAAAAGAAAACAACAAAAAGACTGAACTAAATCAAAGTTAAAAAGATTTGGCCAGGACACCTGGGTGGCTCAGTGGTTGAGTGTCTGCCTTCAGCTCAGGGTGTGATCCTGGGGTCCCACGATCAGGATGGAGTCCCACACTGGGCTCCCCACAGGAACCCTGCTTCTTCTCCTGCCTATGTCTCTGTCTCTGTCTCTCTTGAATAAGTAAAATCTTAAAAAAAAAAAAAAAAAAGAAACAAAAAACACATTTGTGCCAAAGACATTAATAAAGGGAGTAGAAACACAAAACACATTTGCTATCAATTGTAGTCTCTTGGTCTATATGACCTTAATGCCAGTAATACATGCCGTGGCTTTGTAGTGAGTTTTGAAGTCCTAAGTGTGAGTCCTCCGATTTTGTTTTCTAGACCTAGCTTTGGCAATTCAGGATCTCTTACACTTCTACATGAATCTTAGGATGGATATTTCTATTTCTGCCCAAAAGAAAAAAAAAAAAGCTATTGGTATTTTATAGCAACCATGTTGAATCTGTAGATTGCTTTTTGAGTAGTCAATGACATTTTAACACTATTAAGTCTTCCCTGAACGTGGGATAGCTCTCTATTCCGTATCTTTAAATTCTCGCAGCACTTTTTTTTAGTTTTCAGTGTACAAGATCATGTCACTTTGTTGATTAAACTTATTCCTAAGTATTTTATTATTTCTGATGCTACTGCAGGTGGAATTTTCTGATTGTTCTTTGCTAGTATATAAAAATGCAACTGATTTTTGTGTTTGTTTTCTATTCTGACCTTATTTACTTTATGCCACCTCCAAACCTGGGACTAGGGTAAAACAGGCCTAGTGTCAACCTCATGAGTCTTACAGTTTGCCTGCACTGTTTTCATTCCCACTCACCTGAGTGAAAAAAAAAGTGCAGATACTAGTGATGACAAACAGAGGCCTCAGGCTGAATGCCACTGAGATGAGGGAATTTGGCCTAGAGGAGGGAACGCTGAGCCTCAGTTGGATGCTAACTGGCCTTGAAGCCAGTCAACTATGGATTTAGTTCCAAAACCGGGTATGGCAAAGTACATGTTGAGTATGTGGTAAAAGAGGTCTGTAAGTGAGAGCATGATGGATTCTGAATTCTGGCTTCACTTGCTGTAGCCAGAATCTTGCCAGCCTCTTGTAGCACCTTGGTCTTCTGCGTGGATTTCCAGCAAACATTTAATAAGGGGACGCACAAGCATGCTGTGCCTCGCTTGAAAGCACTGGTGCCCACATGAGGGAAAAGGATCCCGAGATAACCATACAGATGTTCTCACCCTCACCGTTTGCTTCCCACTGATCTGAAGAGAGTAAGCAGATAAGTGCACAATAAGTTGATCTGGAGGTATTTATCAACAATAAACTAGGTGGGAAAAGCAAGCTATTTAATATATTGTGTGATCCTATCTTTGTTAACATAGACAGGAGACCTATTTATGTGAGTATATAAACATACAAAGAGGCAAGGGTAAGCTTCTAAGTGATTTCACTTGGAAGTCTGAAGGCTTTTCAGGCATACATTAACATTTATAACTGGTAGATGGAAGCATTCCCAATTTAAAGAGAGCCTTCCAGCAGGTACTGTTTTCCCTAGTGCACCAGGGGCTGGAATATGCCCCAGGGGCCTGGCGTGTTCTTCCTTGCTCTGAGCTGGGGTTTTGGGGGAGAGGGGGCTTTCAGCCTCTACAGTTCCTGCACCTCACATGGTCTCCTCCTCCCTGCAGACTGCAATAAGGTTACTGACCAGTGCCTGTCCTTCTTCAAACGCTGTGGAAATATCTGTCATATTGACCTGAGGTACTGCAAGCAAGTTACCAAGGAAGGCTGTGAGCAGTTCATAGCTGAAATGTCTGTGAGCGTCCAGTTTGGGCAAGTGGAAGAAAAACTCCTGCAGAAGCTGAGTTAGTCCAAGGACAAGTATGTAAATAAGGGGTGGGTGGGGGAGGGGGGCGTGGCTGGGGAGGGGAAACAACTTTACAAAAATTAGGGCTTTTATTTTCAAATTGGAACTTGAAGCGACAGACCACACGATTCCATTTTGCAAGACTTGCAGAGGGAGAAACCATTCTCCCACATGTTCGGGGGATGAGTGAACCGGACACTTCCCTTTGGTCTCTGAATTAGAACTGCACTGCTTTCTGGACCATTTCTAAGGCGGCCTTTACCAAGAAGACATTCCTGCTGGAGAGAAAGATGGACTTTGAAGAAATTCTCTTACTGAAGCATGAGCTTAGAAGTTTTTGTTGGTGGTGGTGTTTTTGTTTTGGACACCTCATTCCTTGCAACTCCAGGGGTTGGTGTCAACATACAGTGGACCACACACCACATCTGCTGCCGTCGTGATATTTTTTGTTTGTTTGGTTTTGTTACATCTTACATTATGCAGAAATATTTTTGTACAAATTGTTTAAAAGTTATTTATGCAAGGTTTGAATGCATACCTGTGTTTTTATTGTTTTGAGATTGCCAACTTCCCTGGTTTCCTTAAGGTAGGAGAGAACTTAACCTGTATTTCATCGACACAAATAATCCATCTACACATGTGCCCAGATATGGCAAAGCAGGTGAAGACCTTCCAATTAAAAGCATGTTTAACTGGAAGCTGAGAGCCTGCTTTGTCCATCAAGAATTACATAAGCATGTGGATATATGTTATAGTCGAAGTAAGACACTCTGCCAAGTTTCCTCTGTATAGAATTTACCCATTTCTCAAAATTTAAAAATCCAGACTTCAGCCTTTGCACTCAGGAGGGTTTTGCGCCAGCATGAGCTCTTATACTCTACACAGATCTAATTTATACAGTGGGTCAAGAAGTAGAATAAATGATCCAACATAGCCTTTCTTTTCCTTTTTTCTCTCCTTTGAAGTGAGTTGAGTTCTCGTTCAAGGTTTATAACATGGCTATTTCCTAGTTGTAAAGTTATGCCTTCATAAGTGCCATTGTTTGTAAGGTGGTGTTTTCCTAGACTTTCCCTGACACGGTTTTACCTTTGTTGAATTTGTATAAACAATTGTACAAAAAAAAAGCACTCTTGGCCTTGGAGAGTTTTTGTTCTAGGAGTGGATTAGAAATTTGAGAAGTCCAGGGATTCCTGGGTGGCGCAGTGGTTTACCGCCTGCCTTTAGCCCAGGGCGCGATCCTGGAGACTCGGGATCGAATCCCACGTCAGGCTCCCAGTGCATGGAGCCTGCTTCTCTCTTTGCCTATGTCTCTGCCTCTCTCTCCTCTCTCTCTCTCTGAGACTATCATAACTAAAAAAATAAAAAATAAAATAAATTTGAGAAGTCCAGAAGCCGTAGTCTCAACATTGGTATAAAGAACTTCTCTTACTCATCAGAGCAATGCAGCGGCCTCATGGTACACGGCGTCCCATCTTCACAGAGCACGGTTACTTAAGGCAGAAGTAGTTAGTGGGAGAGAGTGGTGCCACCCCTCTGGCCATGAGTGGGGATTTGGTACAAACCGCCTCAAGGGGCGAGGCAGCTTACCTGAGTGGGTGCCTCTGACCACAGCTGTATGAAATACCTTCCGTGGTCACTTGGTGTTGCCACTGCCACAGGGGAGCGGGCAGGGGATGTCTGTTTCCTCAACCTCTCCCTGGAGGCGGCTCCTGGAGGCTGCATGCTGCACACGGGAGTCTTGGGCCGGGGCAGCTGGAGGCAGTTGGTTGTGAGGTGATGTCTCCAGCTGGTAGACACAGAAACTGGGGAGAAGTCATTTTAGATCACAGAATTTTAACAATAGGGTACTGCAACCTTATACTCCCATATAGAAAGGACTGCTTTAGTGAAGCTGAAAATGGGAGAAGATAATCCACCTTCCTTTTTTTTTTGCCATGAAATGGTTTTAGATCCTGCCCAGCCAGTCTCATGCATCCTATTAGTTTAAACCCAGAGATCCTTTGACTCAAATTGGAGACATATGCAGCTGTTGTACTCCAGAATTTAACTCAGGAGATACACTTTACAAAGGTAAGATTAGTTTAAAAAAAGAACCCATAAAGATTTTATTAGAGAGCAAGAGCATGAGCCAAAAGGGGGGATCGCAGAGAGGGAGAAGCAGACCTCTCATTGAGCAGGAAGCCTGTTGCAGGGCTCGATCCCAAGACCCCGAGATCACAACCTGAGCTGAAGGCAGATACTTAACTGAATGAGCCATCCAGGGGCCCCAACAACTATGGTTTATTTATAAAAATGCGGCTTACCTTTGTAAGCCTGTTCATCGTGGAGCACCCCCCAGACACCAGCCTGAGCTCTTTGAACTTTCAAATAAGCCTTACCCTGGAGACGCCTGGGTGGCTTAGTGGTTGAGCACCTACCCCTGGCTCAGGGTGTGATCCACGGTCTCGGGATCGAGTCCCACATCGGGCTCCCCGCCTGGAGTGTGCTTCTCCCTCTGCCTACATCTCTGCCTTTCTCTCTTTCATGAATGAATGGATAGAATCTTAAAAAAAAAAAAAAAAAAAAAGCCTTACCCTGATGTCCACTAAAGGCCTCCTCTTCTTTAGGAATTGCTTTAAGGATAACAATGCTCTCCAGGTGAACTCCTGGAGTCAGAGGGCCTTGTTACTCCTGTAACGTTTCCAGGAGTACACAGGTCTGCCAAGAGGAGGCGGAGAGGGCTTCGAGGACCAGGGAGCCAAAGCTACTATAGGGACATGCCTCATATGCAATCCTATGCGACCACTGCAGGACAGTGGCCTGCCTCAAACCTGGAGTGTGGTTGCATAGGAGTTCCCCGTGTGTACTGAACAAACCAGTCAAGGTTATACACCAGTACAGTTTATACACCGACCTGTCATTTTTAAAAATGAGGTGTAGATGAGGCCATCCTGAGCTAAATGCTTGCAGGTAGTTGCTCTGAGTCCATAGACCATAACTGATGAAGCAAAAAAAAGGACCATAAACCAGAGGCTGTCCTTTTTCGATTAGATCACAGCTTCCTAACCCAGAAAAGCTCCATCCAGGCTTCCTCTAGGGAACGGAGGCTTCCAAAGGATAAACACCATGGCACATCCAAAGCATCAGATGCCATCCTTCCATATTGTGAGGATATGAGGATAGGGGTGAGGAACAGCATTGTATTCTACTGTACACCTTCAGAGTCTTACCCATATATTACCTATTCAAAAAATCAAAAGCAGCAGAGCATGCCACTAGAAAATGCACATTGCAGGGGAAATGTCTGCCCTCTTCCAAACCAGTTAGTACCTTTGGTTATTTGGTTATTTTAGTCATCAAGCCTCTCAGGCTAAAAATTTCTTTTGGCTACTCACTAAACCTGGATTAATTCAAAACACTATCTTAAAAAAAAAAAATACACCTTTGAGTTTTTGTTCTCTTGCTAAAAACAAGTATCTGAAACCACTTCTTTAAATCCAAGAAGAAACACCAAACAAGCTGATTGAAGCTGAGACAATGTACAAATAAATCTCAATTTTCTAACTTAAGACAAACCAGCACCTGCTACTCAGCTTCTATTTCAGTGTGTTCACTATCACTTGCTGGCCTGGATTTGAAGACTTCTTGCCACCAAATTAGCAATTTGTGGACAAGATTGCAGTTTTGGAGTTTATAGTCTCACAAGAGGTACAGACAGGGTAAGTGCTCCTAAAGCTTCAGCAGGGATTCGGTTTTATTGCTTCTGCAACAACGACCTGCTCAGGCTGCTTACTGTGAACTGTGGCCAACACCCCTCCCGGGCGCTGTAGGCAAACAGGAGAGGTTACTTGAAATATCCACGAGGCCTGGGTTTGTAGGTTTTGACCCTTAAAACCAGAAGAGGTGGGAAGGCATGCTTTTCTCCACAAGGCAAACTTTCTCTCCTAGTCCAGGGGTGGACTGTCTGCCTCCCTTGCTATAATCATCAGATGTGTGACCAACTTATGGATCCTGAGCACTTAAAAGGCATGTGTGCTACCCACTGTGGAATAAAAAAATAAACTGAACAGGACTCAGTTCAGAAGTTAGGCATTTCTTAAAAACATACCTAACACAGCCTACCGGTGGGAATGAGTCCACAGTTGGGTTTCAACCAAACACCACCCTGGCTGGAATTAGATGTGAAAGAAAAGCAATTTCAGATCATTCATGTCCCAGGAACCATTCTGCATGAGCCCATGTCAGGTTTCTCATTTGCTGGGTGGTAGCAGAAGAGTTAAGAAAACATCAGCGTCAGAGCCAGGTTCACATTCTGACGTTTGCCACTAACTTTTTAAAGTATCAGGTATTATCACTTTTTTTGGTAACAGCTGTATTAAGAAATAGTCACATATGAAATAATCCACCCACTTTGTAAGTAATCTCTACCCCCCAACTTGGGCTCGAACTCAACAACCCTGAGATCAGAATAATATGCTCTTCTGAGACAGCCAAGGGTCTCAGCCACTTTCTAAGACTTCAGACAAGTTCTTTAATTTCCCAGAGGTTCCCCATCTGTGAAGCAAGGCAACAGCAATTTCAGAATGCTGGAGAACTAGCCCTCAGCAAAATACTTGGTCACAATAAACAGCAAATCAATAGTTAAGCTAGTGGTACACATCAGCAGCCAGGAAGGGTGCTGGATCAGATGCAGATACCCATTCATGCTGTACCCAGGTAAATTAGGAACTAAGTAGGACAATGTAAGCAAAAGCATTTTTTAAAATCTAATTTTATTCCTAAAGTTAAATTAGCTAGCGGTAGCACTGAAAATACACTTTCACTATACAAAACAGTGTAAACTTGTTCAACATTAAGAATTTAACACACACACTTCTCTAATGAAAGCAGCTAGATGCAGCCTTTGCTCTAAAAAGCTGTACCTGAACAGAAATGGACATGTTAAGTCTAAGGCCCTGGCAGTTGACTACAGAATGTCAGTTGTTCCCAGTTATGTTTAAACGCAGAAATAGCAACAATGTGGAAACTTACATTCATCAAATAGTAGCATTTAAAATATACATGACTAATAAAGTGAACATTCAGAGGGGCCACTGCTCAGTGTGTACCATGTTGGCCACTTGTGGACAGTGATCTCACCCAAGAGAACAGAAGTTTCAAACATCTGAGTAGTTTAAGTTAAAAATAGGATGAAGGAGAAATAGAGAACAGGATAAATGTTCTCCGGAGAGAGCAGTAGCTGATGCTGTGAGCAGTCTGCCTTCATCAGCAATCAGTGATCACAGATGTGGGATGAAGCCCTGCAGAACCTGGGAAATGGCGTGTCCCCAAGCTGGCAAGCACATGGCACATACCAACATTGCCACAACTTAGGATGAATCTTTCTGTCCCCAGTTAGTAGTGAAAATAATTTTTAAAAATAGTTTCAGGGGATCCCTGGGTGGCTCAGCGGTTTAGTGCCTGCCTTTGGCCCAGGGTGCGATCCTAGAGTCCCGGGATCGAGTCCCACGTCGGGCTCCTGGCATGGAGCCTGCTTCTCCCTCCTCCTGTGTCTCTGCCTCTCTCTCTATCATAAATAAATGAATAAATAAATCTTTAAAAAAAAAAAAGTTTCAGCCTTTGAACAGGAAGTTTCCAGGCACTCCTGTATATTGAAATGTCTGGGATCGAGCTTGGGGGCGAGTGTCCTGTCGGGAAGAACCTGGGCTTCAGGACTTGAACACGTGCACGGCGCGCACCACATACTGCCGGCAGATGGGACACTCACTCATGCGCTTGCCACACTTGGTGCAGGTGACCATGTGCCCGCACTCAAGCAGGACACAGTCAATGACAGCATCCATGCAGATACGGCACAAGCGATCATCTTCCTCATCCTGCAGCTGCAGTCGCTCGCCATCTGAAAGGCAACAGAGAGCTGGGGCTGTGGACACAGTGCTGCCTGATCGCGGGGGGGTGGGGGGGGTGCCCAGCAGTCATCTGGAGAGACCATGGCAGGCCCCAGATAAACCCGGTATCGTGAAAGAAATAATCCAGCTTCTCTGCACTTCCATTCCCTCCACTAGCAATGGCAGTAGTAATAATGCCTATACCTTGTAGAGTTTTGTGAATACATGAGAAATGCTTAGCTTAGGGCCAGGTATGAAGTGCCCACAAATATTAGCTACTTAGTTCTATTTTATAGCTGTAATTCAAAGTTCTTGTGAGAAGAACAGATTACTACTTTAAGTGAAAATAAAGAGACCTAAGGTTGTCTCTATACACGGGCCTCATAGAATATGACTGGAATTTCCCACCCAACTGTGTGGCCTTGGGAAAAGTCAGTCTCCAGAGCTTCATCTCAGTAGGAAGAACTTTATTTCCACACTGATAGAAAAGTTCTGAAGAGTCATACATCAAGTAGCCTGTACTTGGGGGAAAAACAGTTGAAATCTAACTGCAAACAGACCGGCTATCCTGGCTCTGAGACCCACCCAGATTTAGGTTCTGAGAAAATCTAAGCTCTGAATAAGAAAGGTGGTGAATGAGTTTAAAAGTTCACCTCAGCCTGAGATTTGGCCCCAGAGCTAAAGATACTGAGGCTTCCTTTTCTTTAGGGGGATCTACAGGGGATCGATGGGAATATATCACGATTATAGTTAGAAAGAACAGGAATTCACTATTGAAGGGCCAGTAGTCTCTGGATTTAAGAGAATAATGCCATTTCAAAAGATTCTTGTAAACCAGGGGAAGAAAGGATTCATGGGATAAGACAATTGATGAGCCAGTGGAGAAGACCCTAGAGGGCTCTTGAGTAAATCAGAGTCTAGGCTTTGATCCCCTCCCCTGCATGGAAGTTTCCTTCCAACAGTCACAAGTTCTGAGCATAAAGCAGAGGAGCCAGGGTTTATCAAGGCTATTAGGTAAGGCTATAGAGGTGAATATCTCAATCTAAGTGACTGAAGACAATCAAAGTAGGGAAGATTCCAACTGTACTCATTTTGAGTATTCCACAAGTCTGGAGGTTGAACCAGGGAGAGAGTAAGCAGTGAGGTAACTGAAAAAGGCACTTTGGTAAATGTGTATGTCATGGCCTCCTCTACCATAAACTCCCGGAGGGTGGGAATGGCTATGCATGACCAGCGCGCACTGTACACGCTTGGCATTTACACTTATTAAATAAATGGATTTCTCCCCTCACTACCAGAACGCCATTTCCCAGCCACAGCCTGGGACCTCTGAAGGCTCTGAGGCTTAAGATTCTTGTATCTACCCTTGTGGCCTCATCTTAGGAAATAGGTATGCCAAAATACTTCCCGCATATTCAGGCATAAAGCTGTTTACCAATAATTGCTGCATTATAACCAGATTGAAGGGGAAAAAAAAACAAACCTCACGATGATAAAAGTTAGTGGGAAGATTGTTTAGATAGGAACATATTTGTCAGTCTAAACACCACTGAAATTTTCTTTCTTGCCTATAAATGCTCTATGGCTTGGCCCTGTTACCAACTAAGGATTTCTGCTCCATGCCTCATCAATAAATAGTTTCGGAATTCTTAACTTCAGCTTTTCCCAACTTCTAGAGAAACCTAATACTCGATGCTAAGAACTACTTAACATCTTGGCTCTAGGTAATTTTTTTTTTTTTTTTTTTTTTTTTTGTAGTTAGGATTTAAAAGCTACAATTGAGATAACCAAAGTATTGGCCTGCCAGGTTAGTGAGAAAACATGCATTTTTATAGAGACAAGGGAGTGCATTAGAGTTCTAACAAATTATGGCAAAGAAAACCAGACTCAACAAATGACCTAACTCACTTGCAATGGTGGTCTCAGAGCCAACATCACATAATAAACTTACTAATTAACAAGTTCATACCTCTAATTCACTCAATAAAAGGATACATAGTTTTGTGAAAAATTTTGACCTCATTGTGATAGAAACAACCCAATTTTTATTTATTTATTTTTTTTTATTTTTTTTTTAACAACCCAATTTTTAAAAGACTAAAGACGGATAGTATGGGGGAAGAAAGAAAAAGGAAACCTACATGACTTTTGGTTTTCTTCATTCTCTTTGTATAACCGGTTTACTTTCTCTACCAGCTCCCATTTTTCACAACAGCCAGAATAGTTGACAAAATTCCGAGCCAGGATTTCCTTCAGCTGGCGCACGCTCATTCCTTCCACATCTTCTAGGCTTGATAGGTCAGATAGTGAAGCTCTTACTCGCTTCTCAGAGAGGCCAGGAGTCTGCAATCACAGAGGGCTTCCATTAGGTCTGTTCGTGCAAAGGCAGACCTCTCAGAGCAAGGGAAACTGCATGTTCCCCTCGTCCTCTAGTCACTATGAGCCTTGGATATTCTTCCCAGACTTCTAATCATTTTTTTTTAAGATTTTATTTATTTATTCACGGAGAGACACAGAGAGAAAGGCAGAGACACAGGCAGAGGGAGAAGCAGGCTCCCCAAGGGGAGCCTGATGCAGGACTTGATCCCAGAAACCTGGGATCACGCCCTGAGCTAAAGGCAGGCACTCAGCCACTGAGCCGCCCAGGCATCTTTCATCAGTTCTTGAAGTGTTTTCTATATTATGCTACATTCAAACCAGGAGAAACATCCAGCACTAATCTAGTGAAAGTCCACATAGGCACTCTCCCTGCCTGCCAGGTTGACATGTTAAGGGAATTTTATAGGAGCACTCACCTGTTCCTCCAAGTTTTCTTCATCATCATCATCCTCATCATCTTCGTCATCATCTTCATCATCCTCCTCTTCTGTGTTGGCTGAAGCTATTTCACTTTGTACCTACACACATAATTGATCTGATTAGGTCAGGAATCATATTTTCCTAACAGTATCAACTCTGTCAATATTGAACCCTGGAGAAAACCCTTCCATAGATCTTCCCCAAGAATGTCCCTAGTACCTGGCATACTCCACAATGAATTTGGATCTGGAGTGCTGCCGCCCCTCTCAAAGAGCTGGGCCCCCCATGATTTCATAAACTTACCTTTCCTAAAGTTATCTCAAAAGCCAAATTCCTATGTGTGGGTGAATTTATAACATCTAACCAGAGTATTAACTCCCTGAGAAGGTCCCATCATGAAATGTCAAAGCCACAGCTGTCAATGCATGCAACTACCCTGCCTCATCATCAAAGGACCTGTGTAAGGCTGGTCTAACTGGAGCCTCTAAGATACAGATAGAAGCTAAAAGCTCTAAGTTCAGTCCAAGCGTCACAGGCAATTGATTTGAAAGACACCAATCCTACTACATCATACTTAGACATTCTGATTCTCAAGAACGCTTTCTAGACTTCTTCATTGACGGCTAATGCTAGCTCTAGTTTTTAGAAACTCAACAATCAGAGTTACTCTTTAGGAAGAACAGAAAGACCTTTGAAGATCTTCGACTTGGGTTATGTACCTTCTTTCACGTCTTTCTCTTCAGACTCTACTTTGACCATAGCTCTCTATAAGAGTCTAGGTCAGTTCCCAATTTCAAATATTCCACCCCACTGGTTCACAAGCAACACACTGCAGTATCCAAAGACCCACATGTTCCAAGAGGGGTCATATACCCAAAAGTGGCACAAAAGGCAGATGTATCTTGTGTTTGCATCATTGTTATATCAGCTTTCATTTGGGAAAAGAGTAACTCCTAGGTTGGACTTCTTTAATTTATGACTAGAAGGCAACTAGACCAGATTTCCCTCTGCTTTTAACTGCTTCAGTGAAGAGAATTAAATGTGGAGAGAACTCCTCAAAACAATCTATTCAGCATTTCAGAATCATTCACCTATACAAACTGATTTATTACAAGCTTTTGAATGTTATTCAATCAGGATGCCCAAGGACCACTGAGACAATATTGTGCCCCGGCATTTCTTTAAAATTAGTAATCATATTCTTTGATTAATTCAGATGGCTTTTTCCCATTTTATTGTAGCAAGGCAATTGGACATTAGGGTAACTTACACTATTGTGCCCATGGTCACTGACAAATAATCTTGCAAATATTTACACACTACTTTTTACAGTCATTAATTCAATAGTATTTACCTTAAAGGAAACTGAAGTAACTAGAGTCAAGAGACTAATGGGCTTCAGACAGTTGACTTTGTGGCTACCCTGCACCCAGGCTCAGAGACTCACAGCAAGAGAGCCTACATGCACAGAATTCAGCAGCGTTTGGAACCTCTACTCCCATTGGGGGTCATGAAGCCCTAAAGGCCCCATGATATATGGCCAACAAGAGGTGCCAGGCCCTTGGTGTAATTATACCCTCATACCTGTGCCAGAACTCCAGATCCCAAGATCTGGTCTCCACCCATAAAGTCTCCCTGAAATGAAGACACGGTAGCAGAAGGGGCTGTATGGTTTGAAAAAAATGAATGTGCAAAAAAGCTAGAACTCTGGGATCGTGAGGAATTCAGGCTGCTTGTGTCCAGGTCATCCTCAGAGCCCAGCCCATGGTGGCAGAGTACTAAATCTACCAAGTCTTCTTTCTCTCGACAGGTATCAATTGGGATGTTTCGAAGAATGAGATATTGCCGGAGATCCTTGACTTTTAGTCGCATTAACTGAGGGCGCTGAAAGGCCGTCTCTTGTAATAAGTGACATGTGGAACATCTACGGAGATTTTCTTGTAAGACTGAACAAACGGAGCAAAAATCCTTCTTGCAGTCGCAACATACATGCTAAAGAAACAGCAAGAAAAGAAGCAGTTAATGATAGCCAGATATAAGCATGCGTTTTCTTTCTACCTTGTATTAAAATTCAATTTTAGTTCTTATGAAGTCTCCCATGGCACCCAACTACCTCACGGCCATGCTTGTGTTTCAAAAGCCATGAAAATCAAAACACTCACTACTGAGGCAGTTTGGATTCACAGAAGTTCAATATAGCCCTTTAAGAAAAACATACACTCTTGTGTTAATGAATTAAAACCTTTCCACCCCTTGATACAAACATGTAATTAGAACAGAGATGAGTTGAACCACATGGAGCAGAAAGCACAACCACAAACTCTTCCTACTCTTTCCCTACGTGAACAATTTCCCCATTTAAAGAGAAGTTGGGGGGAGTGGGCTGGGGAGAACACAGAGAAAGAGGTAATTCACCTCTCAAGGTCATTCAAATTGAATAGAAGATCTCTCTCTTGTGGTAATCTGTACCTTACCGAGCCTTAATCACACTCAAAGCCACTGCACTAGCAAAGCTTAAAGTAGACATGAAGATGTGGTCCTTTCTGCTTGCTGCATTGTTCTCACAAGCTAACACCTTGCTCCTGACATATTTCAGATGACTAAACTGATGATGATCAAAGACTGTGAGATGGCCTTACAATATGATGGCACTCAGAAAAAATGACTTTGTCTTCGAGAAAATAACAGCCAAAATGTTTTATGCTGAATCTCTACACAGTTATCTTATACTAATTTTTTCAATTAAGAATGTGGGTAGGGATGATACATTTTTTGAAACTTGAGATCAGTTATAGTAAATTATCTCTGATCAAAACTGTAGACTAATTAAATCTCTTACCTCTACAACATAAGCATAATGAGGTAGAATCAAAGTATACAGAGCTCAGAAGGCAAGATCCCTGAGCAATATGAGAACAACAACTTGTCAGAAAACTTGAGCAGTAATACGGTCCCTTCAACTGAGTACTTTTCTAAATGGGAAATGGTTAATAAGAATTGTGGGTAATTTTAATAAAAAATGATTCATTAGCATTAACATATAATCAAGAAATGTGTCCTTTGTATATAACATTTCATCCAACTCACCTTCTTTCTAAAGACTGAAAAGGAAAGTCCACAGGCTTTGCAAACTATATTAGGCCCTTCCATTGGTACTGATGGGTAAGTGGAAAAATCAGAATTTGGTGCAAATCTGAATGGACCGGTACCTCCTGCAAATCCTGACTGCTGGCCCCTGACAGCTCCAGTTCCCATGACTTCATTCAGCAGCCCACAGCATGAAGCCCACATAGACGTGGCACCCGCCTGGAAAGAACACAGGTAAAGACCATAGTTTAAAGCTGAGTGGAGGGGATCCCTGAGTGGCTCAGCGGGTTTAGTGCCTGTCTTCAGCCTGGGGCGCGGTCCTGGAGTCCCAGGATCGATTCCCACGTCAGGCTCCCTGCATGGAGTCTGCTTCTCCCTCTGCCTGTGTCTCTGCCTCTCTCGCTGTGTCTCTCATGATTAAATAAATAAAATCTTAAATAAATAAATAAACAAACAAACAAACAATAAAATAAAGCTGAGTGGAACCTGTGCTCTCTGGGAATCTCAAGGAACACCATTCTGTAGATATACATTTGCCCTAAATAACTTTGAGATTATTCCTTTAACTGAGGTATAATTAATGTAGAATGAATTTTAGGTGTACAATTCAATATATTCTATTCAATATATTCAATATATACTACCAAGATATCACAAGTCTAGCTACCATCCATCATTCAACTGAGCCCCTCCACCCATTTCACCTACCCTCTTAGTAACCAGCAAGCTGTTCTAAGAGTTTATTCATTTTTAAATTCCACATATAAGTAACATCATATAGTATTATCTGTCTTTCTTTGCCTGATTTCTTTCACTTAGCATAATTCTCTCACAATCCATCTGTGTTGTTACAAATGGCAAATCTTCCTTCTTTTTGATGGCTGGGTAGTAGTCCATTGTATGGACCTATCACCTCTTTATCCATTCATCTACTAATGGACACTTAGATTATTTTCAGATCTTCATTATTATGAATAATGCTGCAGTGAACAGGGGAGGGAGGCATAGAACTTTTTTTTTTTTGTGGGTTTTTTTTTTTTTTTGGCATAGAACTTTTTGAATTAGTGTTTTCATATTCTTCAAATACCTAGAAGTAGAATAGCTGAATTATGGTAGTTCTATTTTTTATTTTTCAAGAACTCTCCATATTGTTTTCCACAGTGGCTGCACTAATTGACATTCCCACCAATGGTTCTCTTTGCTCTTTGCTTGCTAACACGTATTGTCTTTTTTATGATAGCCATTCTAATAGATATGGGAGGTTATCTCACTGTGGTTTTGAGAGATTATTCTTTGAAGCATCAAAATTTTAAGCTCTGGAAAGATAAATTTTTGATATTTTCAAAGAATATTTGGCAATGGGGAAACCATGACATCGTTAAACAAAAGTAAACGATACAGTTATGAACCCAATTTTGTTTAAAAAAAAAAAATCCACAAGGCAGCCCAGGTGGCTCAGTGATTTAGTGCCACCTTCGGCCCAGGTTGTGATCCTGGAGACCCAGGATCGAGTCCCACGTTGGGCTGCCCAAGCTATAGGTTTTTAATGTATCTTATATAAATTTGAGTTTTTCTCTACTTTCCAAGCTCTTCAGAAACAAATACATTACTGTGACATTAAAAAAATATATTTTTAAAAGGCAGTGATTGTGATCCTGTCTTTTCAAACTGAAAATACTAAACAGAGGCACCTGGGTGGCTTAGTGGTTGAGCATAAGCCTTTGGCTCAGGTTATGATCCCGGGGTCCCAGGATCGAGTCCCACATCAAGCTCCCCGTAGGGAGCCTGCTTCTCCCTCTGCCTAGGTCTCTGCCTCTCTGTCTCTCTCATGAATAAAATCTTAAAACAAAAAGGACTTAAAAAAACACTAAACTATTTCTGATGACTGGATAACCACCACAATCTTCTAGGGCATAAGGGCTATTTGTCACTCCACTAAATGGCCTGAAATTAATGTACTGCCTTTTGTTTTTTTTTTCCTCTGGTCTCTTCCCTGTGAGGCACCACTGCTCACATTATACTCACCTCCAACAACCTCCTTCTTACTGCAGACACAGAAACCTGATAACCAAGCTTGTCAGACTTGTATGTGAAAATATATTTTCAATGAGGACTCGGTACTTTCCCATGCAAAAATATAAAAGCTATAGCACTTGGAATCAAAAACTTTTACCCCTTGTCCTAATTCTTAAGCACATTCTAGACTGTAGATAATTTAATAGGTAATAAGAGTCCAGGTAGGTGAGATGTGATTAGTTAAAATGGCAACATAGTTCCATATTTTATTATCTAACTCTAGCAAACACTATTTGTCCAATAAGCTCTTTAAAAAAAGTTTTAAAAAAATAAAATAAAAAAGTTTTTTTAAAACAACTTTAAAAGGCTATTTAGAATACTATAGAATAATCATGCTATTCTTGCTACTTCCCACACATAATATGCTATTTAAATACAGGGAAAGGAGAAGGTAAAAGCAATAAGAAACCACAATACACAGTTCAAACAGTCTCAAGTATCAGGATCATTGACTTGAGTATTAAATAGCTGCACACCCTATAATTCTAGAGAAACAGTGATGCCTTTAAAAGTCAAGTTAAATTGTAATTAATAGTTCATATCTTTAAATAAATATATACCTCAGAACTCTGGAGCCATGATATGTTTAAACATAAAAGCATGAAAATCTAGATGAAGTTAATTTAAAGTGAGTGTTCTTTTTTGTGGTGAGCACAGCATAATATATAGATGTGTCAAGTCATTATGTTGTACATCTGAAGCTAAGGTAACATTGTATGTTAACTACAATAAATTTTTTTAATAAATTTTTTAAAAAGGATTCTTTTAGCAAAAGATTCATCCTCAGTGCTTTAAACAATGACCTAGGGATCCCTGGGTGGCACAGCGGTTTAGCGCCTGCCTTTGGCCCAGGGCGCGATCCTGGAGACCCAGGATCGAATCCCACATCGGGCTCCTGGTGCATGGAGCCTGCTTCTCCCTCTGCTTGTGTCTCTGCCTCTCTCTCTCTCTGTGTGACTATCATAAATAAAAATTAAAAAAAATAAAATAAATTTATAAAAAAAAATAAAATAAAATAAACAATGACCTATTGGGGGGCCAGACTCAGTCAGTGGAACACATGACTCTGGATCTCAGGGTCATAAATTCGAGCCCCACATTAGGCTAGAGATTACTTTAAAACAAAGAGACACTTGAGTGGCTCAGTGGTTGAGTATCTGCCTTCGGCTCAGGGCATGATCCTGGAGTCTTGGGATCGAGTCTGAAGCATCAGAATTTTTTTTAAGATTTTGTATTTTTTTAAAGTAATCTCTACCCCTAACAAGGGGCTCGAACTCATGACCCAGAGTCCAAGAGTTACATGCTCCACCAATTGAGCCAGGCAGGTGCCCCCAGAATTTTTTTAAAGTTCCTCCACGTGGGGATCCCTGGGTGGCTCTGTGGTTTGGTGCCTGCCTTCGGCCCAGGGCATAATCCTGGAGTCCCAGGATCCAGTCCCATATCAGGCTCCCCACATGGAGCCTGCTTCTCCCTCTGCCTGTGTCTCTGCCTCTCTCTCTCTCTCTCTCTCTGTGACTATCATAAATAAAAATTAAAAAAAAAAATCTTAAAAAAAAAAGTTCCCCCACGTGATCTGAATTACAGTGGAGGATAAAAGGTTAACAATTCCTCAGTTTAGGTGCTCTCTTCTTCCTGCCTACACAGTTTTAGCTGGAAAACCACTCTCAGCAGAGCGCTGATGAGAAGAGGCTGTGGTTACTTCTAAAGCTTGTGCCTCTTGAGTTCCAGGACCAAGACTTCAGCCAAACACTCCTCACAACCTGTCGACAATTTTTCCCCAAAGGAGTAGGACATGTATCTAGTGTTTCCTCTCCCTCTGTGGTCTGCCCTAATCCCTCCAGAAAGGCTCAGCTGAGTTTTTTAACAATCTCGTCTGAATCTTAAATTAGTTCCTTTCCACATACCGGCCTGGAACTTTTGCTGAAATTGGTACCTGCCTTCATTTTTACTTTGTTCCCTCATTTTATTTACTCTTTGCTTTCTGGCCCCGACTTTTTATTTAAGTTATTCCTCTGTATGTCTTGTGTGAAATCTCCAATACTAGGAGGAAGACAGTGATTTCTGGGTTAAAGACAGTCATTGTTCAAACTAATTTTGTCCTTCTTCACCTCCAAGTTGAAGAATCACTCAGAAGATGAATCTCAGGATGCCTGGGTGGCTCGGCAATTGAGCGTCTGCCTTTGGCTCAGGGCATGATCCCGGAGTTCCAGGATTGAGTCCCACATCAGGCTCCCTGCATGAAGCCTGCTTCTCCCTCTGCCTATGTTTCTGCTTCTGTCTCTCATGAATAAGTAAATAAATAAATCTTAAAAAAAAAAAAGGATAATTCTCCCAGGCCTGATTAGACTCCCATTTCCTTGCCTCCCCTTTTGTATGTTTCATCTTCCAGCACTTTCCCATTAAGTCCACATTTCCTAAATTTTTTTCTGCATGTCCCCTCAGGGCACAGGCATCCCTACCTCAAACCATCACCTTTACATTCACCTAATAATGCCTGAAGTGTCCTATACCAATCTTTCCCCTCTCAACTGTCCACATTTTGTTGCTACTTGATATAACAGTCCCAATTTTCAAGTGGTAGAATCTATAAAAGCAATTAGGGAACTGTTTCAGAAAGCACTGTCCCAACAGTTTACTGAATGTGGGCTGTTGAAGGGGAGAGTCCTTGGAGAACAAGCATGCCAACCAATCCTCTGAGCTTTTGACTCTGCCTCTATTTCCTTGAAGTCTAGTTACCGTATCTCATAAGGTAATAGCCAAAAAGTCTTTCCCCTTTGCATTCTTTCCTTTAAAAGCTTTAAATTTAGGGATCCCTGGGTGGCTTGGCAGTTAAGCGCCTGCCTTCGGCCCGGGGCATGATTCTGGAGTCCTGGGATCGAGTCCCACGTCGCGATCCCTGCATGGAGCCTGCTTCTCCCTCTGCCTGTGTCTCTGCCCCCCTCTCTCTGTGTCTCTCATGAATAAATAAATAAAATCTTTAAAAAGAAAAAGCTATAAATTTAGAGACCCAGGTTCATGTTCTGTCTTCCCCACCCTTTAAGATCTTCCACTAGTTTAAGCAGCCTGCATTCCCTTACCTTTTATTCACTCACTGTTCGTTCACCTTTTGGTAGTAAGACTGAAGCATATTTTCCAAACTAATT